AGGAATACTAGAATTGTGGGTCGCTTGTATGGCTGGCCTTTGACATGAAACGATCGGGTTAGTCCACCTTTTCCACTCACCAAGCTGGATGACCTGCGGTTGTTTGTCAGATCTGTATTAACCAATTGTGGGTCGCTTATACGTATGGCCTTTGACATGAAACGATCGGGTTAGTCCACCTTTTCCACTCACCAAGCTGGATGACCTGCGGTTGTTTGTCAGATCCGTCTGTATTAACCGGTCTGGTAAGGGAAATTCCACAGATCACAGTTGAGTAGCTTCCATTGAAGTATAATGGGCTGTTACTGTACATAAACCGTCGAACTGTTGTCTCTTCGCTACATTGTACATCGTTGCAGGAATCTACGCCTAATCTACTTGTGCTGACAAAGTTTATCCGGTTACAACCATTCAGGAATGCTAACCTACTGAAAGCTGTGAAGTTAGTGCTGAAAAAATGTACTTGTAATTGCAGGGTGTTTGGAATTCACAGATTGGGAAAACCGTACGGCCAATGTCACTCACGAGGCTTCCGTTCTGAATGACTGAAAGATGGCAGTGCGCTTCTTTCGCAGTTTTCCGTGCAACGCGTAGATTCGCTTGGCTTGCGAACCAGGAAGTAGACGGCGAAGGAGACGGGAAAAATAATCGACGCAAGCGCAAGTGGCCAAGAAGACAAGGAGTTTCTCGTTCGGATGGGAAAGCAGGAACCGTATGAGCAATGAAAACTTGGCGTCCGGTCCAACTACCTGGGACGGAAATTAAAGGATTGAATAGTCAAGTTCCAAGAGATGGATGCACAGTTTCTCGCATTATGTTCACATGTACACCACAATCCCACTACCACCGTTACGGTAATTTCCTCAAGGAGGAGAGATCACGGAGAAAGGGACCAATTGACCTCCCCCAGTGAGAGCAACCTCTCTTCAAGAGAGGCTCTACATTGAACCACAGCTGACGTGGGACGCCGGTGTGGCCCTCTCCATGAGGGCCACAAGCCGGTGGACTGTGTGCGACTAGACTGCTCAAACTCCTTCACAGTGGTGAATAAATCCATGAAAACAGCCGAAACGAAAAAGCGATGCCTAAAGGTGATATCCCGTCGCCCTAAGCACTATGAACAGTTGGAGGTAGGACACTGTCGAACATCACAGTGCGGTGATACAGAATAGCTGTTATAATACAATAAAATAATCGCTCAGCTGCAACAACCTTTCGGTACCTAGCGATGGCGCCACTAAAGGGAGCACGAGGCCTGAGTAACTGCCAGATTGCCCAAGCCTGCACTGGGGCAGTCGAGATGTGGAAGTTGGGTTTCTCAGCCAAACCGCGTATGAGCGCACTCAAGTACCATAAGGCTAATCCATCCTAACTAGCCTGAGTGTAACTCGCCTCTGCTTCTCTCTTGTGGTCATGCAGCTTTCAGTACATGTATTTTTTAAAGAAGCGATTGTGTTATTGCGATTCCGTCTCATAAAGCTGTATTGCATGACGCTTACGAGCACGGGTCAATCGTCGAGTTTCCCAGTAGCACTGTGTTCTAGGAGATGGAGAATAAATAAAAATCGTTCAGCTGTAACACCCTTTCGGTGCCTAGCTGATATGCAACCCGAAGAAAGCACGAGGGCTTAGATACTGTCAGGTTGCCCAAGCCTAGACAGGGGAAGTCGAGAGGCACAGGTCGGTTTCGAACCACGGACCTTCCGGTCAGCAAACTCACGTTCTAACCAATGGTGTATTGTGGAGTAATGAAATACACACAGGTTGCACACACAGAAAAACACTGATTGGGTTCGCATGTACGACCTTTCCAGGAATGCGAACAGCACGTAAATGCAGGGAACCTAGTGCACTGGTCGTACATTCTGTCACTTCGTCGATGATAAGTTTGGGATCCGGGGGGATCCAGGCTGGTCATATGACGCCTCACCAAGTCGTTTAAAATATGCGGCACAGTCGTATCGCATATGAACCTAAATGAGTTTTCCACGACTCAGTAAAAACACTGAAATTCGTTCGCTAATAAATGAACAGATAATTCGATCTAGCTATTTACGATTCATCTGAATTGTTAGGTCATGCGCACTAGTGAGATCATCGAAGGCTAGGTATGTTCGTCATGGGGGCGAGATAGACCAAGTGGTTAGAGCACGAATTTACTGACCGGAAGGTCCGTGTTTCCAACCCGACCTCTGCCTCTCGACTTCCCCTGTCTAGGCTTGGGCAACCTGACAGTATCCCAGCCC